GCCTTGGCCCAAGCAAATCACTACTCCACACCCATATCTTTCCATGCACACCTCCCTCGTAAAGCAATAATAGAAGTCTTTGGGCTTTCTGTAAGCCCACACTGAATTCTAGGCTACACGTCCCTGCTGGCCAGCCCCTGCCTCTATTTCTTTTTTGTTTTCTAATCTTTTGTATTTATTTTTAATATTATTTTAGTTAATTCTTTTAAATACATTCTAGCTATTTCTTTAGTGTTATCAATAAATTTTTGTAGAAATTAATACACATATTGATATTAGATTTTGATTAGCATTTTATTGGATAGTTATAATTTTAGAAATTAATAGGTGCTAACATTGTAATTTCTTCTTGATTTTAGTTCTTTAATAAAATCCATGTGCTTGTATTTCTTGATGATATTCGTGCTTGATGAGTTGATCAAAGTCCTCTTTGATCAAGTAATCACTTGATTTTTCTCCTCCTCTTATCCAGTTAAGTGATCATAAGCCTCTCGATCACTTGATAGCACTAACCATCTGCATTGGCATTACACTGGACCTTAAATCAAGTCAAGCTTCTCATGCAAGACTGTGAAGACTCTGGACAAAGACTCGATCACTGTTGAGCTTCATTCAAGCAAAATAAAAAGATTCTTCTTCAACACTTCTAAGTTATGACACGAATGGTACGTCACGATCCTTAAGTGATGAAGAAGGAATCACAGGGAGTATTCTTATCGTCATTCTGAATATCTTTGGATACGGGATGTAACACCCTTTTCTACCCTACAATATTATGGCAAAATAACACAGATATTAGAGTAATTATTAAATTTCAACAAAAAGTCACCCAAAAGGGCGTACATTTCCCAAATCAACAAAATAGGTCAAGGCTCCGTAAGCAACGGGTTTTCCCAAAATACATCAAATTGCACAAAGCAACGGAACTCAAAAGGCATAAATCAAGGTTTTCCTCATACGGGAAGATAATCATAAAACATAGTTTAACTCAAAAGACCCCAACCCGATGTTACATATCAGAGCAATACCCTCTAAGTTAACCAAAAGGCTAACATCAAAGACTTCAAAAATATCCTCGACGGCGTCCACGGCTAAACCTGGTCATCTGCATGTTACCCACGTGGAGGTAACATTCAAACAGGCAGGGTGAGTAAAACGATTCATAATAATCAATGTATGAAAATCAACATATAAAATGGTGTCATAGTCATATTCAACATCATCATATTCATCAATAGGCCTCCAAGGCCACAACATCATGAATTATTCCAAATCACTCATATATGCAAATGCAACAAGACTCAATGCATGTGGTACGAATCATCACAGCGCAATGGACACTGGGTCATCAACCCTCCATAGATCCCTATCAATAGGATCGATTCTACTTGAGAACCGGAGCACATCAAAACACTTCACATCCACACAATGGGATTGAAGCCAAAGTAATCGAGGTCCCGAACCGAAGTCCAGACGCACATGAATGCATGATGCACACGTCACAAATCATCCTCATAATAACATCATAGGTGCATCATCATTCATCATATTCATCATCATCAAACGTCATAGCTCATCATCATAATTATCACCATACATCATGTCATCATAGCTCATCATAATAATCATCATCATACATCATGTCATCATAGCTCATCACAATAATCATCATCATACATCATGTCATCATAGCTCATCATAATAATCATCATCATACATCATAGAAATCATCATATAATCATGTACAGATCACGTAGCGCTCACAGTCATACTCATACTAATTCATCATATTATCACATATTAATTCATAATTATACTCGCGGTAATCCTCATACTATCGCCTATTAATCACATAAACTTCACAGTCCTACTCATGTTAATTCGTCAAAGAAATCACAAAATCAATCATCAAAGCATCGCTGCACACGATCAAGATTCGCGAAACTCTGCTACATTCGCTAGCATGTTCGTTAGGCGAGTCTGGGGCGAGTTTCTTCGCTAGGCGAGTATGGGAATAACATGGTTCGCTAGGCGAAGCATTATTCGATAGGCAAACAGTGCGATAACAGCAAATTCTGCTACGCACCATAACCTAAATCCACCCAAATGTCCACACGAGTCACTTCCCCAATGCCCCCAAACACCTCTAAATCATCCCTAAGGTCTTACGGCGATAAAGGCACAAAACCTACGATTTATTAGGCCAATCTTGTATCATATTCACGCCCTAAATCACAAATTTTCCTACAATTATCCCAAGGCATTAGAGTTACTCATTATCTAATATTCATATCCCTTCAGGATTAGACAAATAACAATTCATGGTTTTGGCCACGAAGGCCTAACTTTTACTTTTCCCCAATGAATTCCACGGTTAGATTCACAATAACAGGTTTTGGCCACGAAGGCCAAAGATCACTATTTCTTATATCCAATTAAGTGATCATAAGCATGTCGATCCCTTTATAGCACTAGCCATATGCATTTGCATTACACAGGACCTTAAATCAAGTCAAGCTTCTCATGAAAGACTGTGAAGACTCTGGACAAAGACTTGATCACTACCGAGCTTCATTCAAGCAAAATAAAAAGATTCTTCTTCAACACTTCTCAGTTATGATATGAATGGTACGTCACGAGTCTTAAGTGATGAAGAAGGAATAAGAGGGAGTATTCTTATCGTTATTCTGAATATCTTTGGATATGGGACGCCTGACCCAATTATTCAAAGTATACATCTCAATTCATAGATTTTAGTGCAATTCAAATCAAATAATTGACATGTTTTCTTCCCCATATTAACACTGCAATTAACATCAACAATACTGATTTATGCACCATACTGCTCGGTTTAAACACCACTTTTTTCTCTTGGTTTAAACACCATTTTTATTTTTGCTTGGTTTAAACACCACTCTTTTAGTTTAAAAACCACTTTCTTTTCCTGCTTGGTTTAAACACCATTTTCTTTGTTTAAACACCATTTTCTTTTTATTTTTTTATGTGTTTAAACACCGCTTTTATTTCCTGCTCGGTTTAAAGACAACATATCTAGTTTAAACATCATTTCTATTACTCTTTGGTTTAAACACCATTTTTGTTACTCTTTGGTTTAAACACCATTTCTATTATTCTTTGATTTAAACACCGCTCTTGTTTTCTCTTTGGTTTAAACACCACTTTTATCTCTTGTTTGGTTTATACGTCGCTTTTATTCTTGTTCGGTTTAAACACCACTCTTATTTCTACCTTATAGATTCAAACAATATTTTCCTTATTCAAGCAATTATGTTTCAATTCAAGAAAATTCTCTTGTATTTCAAGTCAATCAACTTTTTCTTATTTTTTTATTACACAAACCTTTTTCAAAACAACTTTCTTTCATTTTCATAAAAGAACTGTTATATTCCGTTCCTTAGCAGTCAGACTAAAAGCTTGGATCATCCGAACTA